TCCCCATCCCCATCCCCATCCCCATCCCCATCCCCATCCCCATCCCCTCCCCACCCCCATCCTAGCACCATCCCCACCCCCATCCCATCCTCATCCCCATTCCATCCTGACCCTCATCCCATCCCACCCCTATCCCACCCCCATCCCCACTTCCACCCCATCTCCATTCTGTCCCTATCCCCATTCCACCCCATCCCCCAGCCTGCCCACTTCACACTCACATCTCTCAGTGTCCCAGTCTGGTGGCACAGAGCCACGACGGCACCGATGGGGATCTGCACACAGCTGAGGACGCCCATGCAGACACCCAGGCTGGTGCCCCACGCTGGGAACTCATAGGTGCCGTAGCGCAGGGGAACATTGTACATGTCCAGGAACGTGAAGATGAGTGTGAACTGTGAGGATGGAGTGGGCAGCAGTGAAGGCACCGTGGGGACATCAGGGCCACCCGGGCTGCCCCTCCTGACCGAGAGGAGCTCAGGCAGTGCCCAACACTTACCAGCAGCAGGCAGGGGGTGAAGAAGACCCAGCACACCTTGAAGCAGCCCAGCACACGGCTGTAACACGGCGGGCAGCGGCAGATCATGGTCACAATGTTCCAGCAGAACCGCTGAACGCCTGTGGGACATGGGGTCACAGCCAGCCCCCCGCCCCAGCAGGGCTCTGTGCCAGGCACCCACAGCCCCTGTGCCCCCCCAGGACATCAGGATGGTGCTGGGCGCTGAGCGGCCCCCCATGTGGGTGGGCAGTGCTGAAACCGCTTCCCAGGATGCAGGGAAGATCACAGCCCAGCTCTGCTCCATGGAACCCCTCAGTTCCACTCCGTGGAGCCCCCCCAGCTCTGCTCCTTGGAGCCCCCCACCTCCGCTCACCATAGCAGGAGGCGACGCCGATGCACATGAGGAGGGTGATGATGATCAGCCCGAAGCTGGTGCTGTAGGTGTCAATAAGGGTGAACCAGAAGATGCCACCCTATGAGTGGGCAGGTGATGGGGTCAGCACTGGGATCCATGCAGGGGGGCGGGCCGTCTGTGCCCCCAGGACAACCCCCAGGATGCATCCAGCATGGGCCCCACGCACCTGGGTGACGAGGAGGAGCCCCAGGAGGTAGAAGGAGAAGCAGAGCACAGCCAGGAACGTCACCTTCCTCTTCCCCTCCCGCAGGGCTGGGAACTCATCCATGATGGCGGTCGTGATGGCCTCGATGTTCCCAAACTGAGGGACAGGGATGTCAAGGGGGTGGCAGGAAACCCACCTTCACCAGGATGGTCCCCGCAGCACCCTTGTCCCCATTGCACTGAGCACGTGTGGCCTTGGGCGCAGCCCCACCAGGGGCACGTAGCAGCCTCACCTCCCTGGGTGGACCCACTGGCTCTGCATCCCACCCCAGCGGCAGCCCCACACACACAGAGCTCCCCAGCCCCATGTTCTGTGCACATTTTGCCTCCTGCATGCCGAGGTCAGGGTGTACCTGGCACCACAAGGCCAGGCACAGGGCGGGACAGGGGACTTCCCAGTGTGACAATCACCAAAGTGTCCACTCCCAGCATGAAGAGCATCAGGAAGAAGAGGATGGACCAGAAGGGGGAACCAGGCAGCAGGGAGAGCGCCTCAGGGTACGCCACGAACGCCAGCCCAGGGCCTGCAGGATGGAGACATCAGGATGAGGGAAAACACCGTGGTGCTCAGCAGCATCCCCTCACACAGCACCCTGTGTCTCCAAAACCACACCAGACTCAGCGACGCTGCCCACAGGGATGTCCCTCTTCAAGGCCATGTGTCCCAGCACCGAGAAGATGGCGAAGCCGGCCAAGAAACTGGTGCAGCAGTTCCCGATGGTGATGACCAGGGTGTCCCTGCCAGGGAGAGCATCTCTACCCCACATCCACGGGGAGGATGGAGTGGGGCACCCCGCTGGGGCCACGCATCCCCACGGACCACACATCCCCACTGCCGCCCCTCAGCGCCCACCCCCAGCTCACCGAACGACGTTGTTGTCAAACTTGTTGTAGGAGGCCATGGAGAGCAGCCCCCCGAAGCCGATGCCCAGCGAGTAGAAGATCTGCGAGGCCGCATCGCTCCATACCTGGGGGCACGAGGCCACGGGGGGCTGTCGGGTCCCACCCACCCCCACTGCCCCCATCTGGGGGTCTCACAGCATGGCGTTACCTGCGCGCTCAGCAGCTTGCTCCAATCCGAGGAGAGGTAAAAGCGGACGCCATCGAGGGAGCCGGGCAGCGTGGCCCCACGGATGATGAGGATGAGGAGGATCAGGTAGGGGAAGGTGGCTGTGATGTACACCACCTGCACAGGGCACAGCTCAGCCCCGCTCTGTTGGCTCAGCATCCCCAGCCGTGCCCCCCCCCCCCCCGCTCACCTTGCCTGAGCTGTGGATGCCCCCCAGCATGCACAGGAAGACCACGATCCAGGCTGCCAGCAGACACAGTGCAAGCAGCCACTGCACTGAGCCGGGGTCACCAAGGCCAGAGCTGTGTGTCACTCCCAGCACCTGCTCGCTGAGGTGTGGGGATGGCAGTCAGTGGGACGGGGATGCTGAATCCCTGAGCCCCCACACTGTGGGACCGGGGGGAAGGAGCCAGCTTGCTTCCGCCAACTTACTTCCAGAAAGCCTCACTGGCACTGGTATGGGTAGCATTCCCTGATGCGTTCTGCAAGATACCATCATCATCACCATCACCACCATCGTCATCATCATCACCACCATCAACATCACCACCATCATCACCATCATCATCACCATCATCATCACCACCATCAACATCATCACCATCATCACCACCACCACCATCAACATCATCACCACCATCATCATCATCACCATCACCACCACCACCACCATCATCATCATCATCATCATCACCATCACCACCATCGTCATCATCATCACCACCATCAACATCACCACCATCATCACCATCATCATCACCACCATCAACATCATCACCATCATCACCACCACCACCATCAACATCATCACCACCATCATCATCATCATCACCATCATCATTATCATCATCATCATCACCATCATCATTATCATTACCACCACCACCATCAGCAGCATCACCACCACCATCATCATCACCACCGTCATCAACATCACCACCATCACCACAATCATCACCCCCACCACCACCATCATCATCACCATTACCATCACCACCACCACCATCAGCAGCATCACCATCATCATCACCACGGCCACTCCCATCATCATCATCACCACCACCACCACTATCAAAACCATCACCATCATCACCACTCCCACCACTCCCACCACTCCCACCACCATCTCCACCACCATCACCACCCCTCCCATCATCACCACCATCATCATCAACCCCCTCCAACCCTCCCTGGCCCCAGCCCCAGCCTGATCTGCTGCCCCTTCCCCAGCTGCAGGTAAAGCCTGACCCTGAGGGATCCCCATCCCCGGATCCCCGTCCCATTCCTGCTCAGGGCCGCCGACCTGGCAGAGCTCGGCGTTCCGGGGGGCATCGCAGGACCAGGGCAGGGGGCTCTGGAAGGACGAGCCCAGGTAGTAGAACGCCCATGCGATGATGACGTTGTAGTAAATGGACACCAGGGAAGACACCACCATCATGCCCACACCAACACCTGCACCGGGGAGAGGGGCTGCTCCGTGCCTGCCTCCGAGGGGCTGGGAGCTAAGAGGGGTGTGGGGAGAGGCACCCTTGGTGCTGGGCCTACCTTGCAGGATGGGGCAGCACTTCCAGACGGTGATGGGCCCCGCGGCCCCGTACTGCCCCAGGCTCAGCTCCATCAGGAAGAGGGGCAGCCCCACCAGGAGCAGCATGAGGAAGTAGGGGATGAGGAAGACGCCTGGGAGGAGAGGGGCAGTGAGTCCAGGGATGGCCAGAGGACACAACAGGTCCTGCAACCCCCCAGGAGATGGGCACAGGGCAGGGAAAGCCCCCAGGCTCCCCAAAGAGCTGTGAGCACCCATCCCTGGCACTTATTGCATGAGGCCTCAGGTGGGGTTTTGGGCCCCTGGACTATGGGAGATGTTCCTGCCCATGAAGGGGGGTGGGTGGTATTCAAGTCCCTTCCCACCCGGACCAGGAGCCCCGTGGATGTGAAGCCCAAAGGGCAGCGTGGGCTCCTGCTGCCCATCCCAGCCCCAGGGAACACCCAGCTGCGTGCACCTCTTCTTCCCCACTGCACCGCACAGAGCACGGAGTGCTGGCAGTGGGGCCACTGGGGATGAATGGAGGGACGGACACACCGACCCCACACCCATGCCCTGAAGCTGAGCAGCATCCACAGCCCTGCCCTGAGGCCAAATTCCTCAGTGAAGGCAAGGTGCAAAGCTCGGCCCAGATGCAGTGCTGGGCACATCCTCATTCCTGCACGGCACCATGGAGCCAACTTGGGCACCCTGCACGTCGCAGTGGGGTTAAAGCAGTGGGGCCAGAGGGCAGCACAGGACCCCGAGGCCCCCGAGCAAACCGAGCCCTGGAGCCGGGGCAGCACCCACCTCCTCCATTGCGGTAGCACAGGTAGGGGAAGCGCCAGACGTTGCCCAGCCCCACGCAGTAGCCCAGGCAGGAGAGCAGGAAGGTGTGCTGCCCGGCCCAGGTGTCGCGGGGTGGGTTGGGGGCCGGGCTCCCCGCTGGAGCTGGGGGCTCTGCACCAGGCTGAGGGGTGATTGGATCCTGCGTCTGGAAGACGTTCACCTGCAGAGGAACAAAGAATTGGGAACGCGTGCCCGAGATCACAGCAGAGCAGAGGAGGATGAGGAGGATGGGTGAGGAAGAAGCATCGCTGCGCACACAGTGCCAAGATCAGGGTTCTGGCTCAGGGTGGTGTGCAGGGGCCGCTCCGTGCCCAGCTCACATGCAGACAGGACTTGGGATGAGCAGGACAAGGGCTGGGGCTGCTTGGTCTGCACCGCTCCTCCCTAATAATGCGACGGGCCATAGGGAAAGCGACCTGCATCCAGCTGCATGGAAAACACTCTCGCAGCTCTGCAGTCCCCAAAGGCTGCAGAAACCCCAAAATCCAGCACGTAGCTCCCTGCAGGCAGCAGAGCAGCCATGAGCAGCTGTGCTCGTGGCATCATGCAGCGCTGCAGGGTGATGCTGTGGGGTGCCCTGGGATGTGGGCATTTGGGATGCTCAGAGTCTCTGCAGGGCACTCCTGGCTGCTCTGGTGCAAAGTTCATGGCACTTCCCTCAGTGCCAGTGCCAATGTGGGGCTGTGCCTCACACAGAGCCGCCCCTGTGCCCGTGAGATAACAGTGCTGCAGCGACTGACTGGGTGACACAAACAAACTGCAGATTGCAGGAATTGTGCCACCAAGACAAGGCCACAGGGAGGGCTCTGCCCTTTGCCTGGTGCTGCGTCAGAGCTGTCCGGGAAGCACAGCGTGGGGATGCCCCATGTGATTACAGGAGCCAGGCCAAGCATGGAAACCAGGGGGTACCTAAGCCTGGGGTGCTGCTCCCGCACTTTGCACACCCACCCAATGCACCCACATCCCAGCCACGGGGTCACAGCACGAGGCACTGCGTGAAGAAAGCAGGGAAGGCAGTGGGGGCATTTCAGCCCTCTGTGGATGCTCAGGTTTCTGCTGTGCATCAGCTCCTCTAAGCTCAAAGCGGGGCACAGCAGACACAGCCTGCCTGGGTGGGAGCCCTGCCCCCCACCCAGCACAGCACCCAGCATTCTGAGAACCTCACAGCTGTGCCCTGTGGGGATGGGGGCACCGCCTGATGGCAGTGGGGCTGCCCCCAAGGCTTCCCACAGCTGCAGTGCCTGAGGGACAAAGCGCTGCACGGGGACAAACCCCCAAGTGATCCGAGCGTCCCCAGCGCTGCTCCCAGCAGAACCCATTGCGGGCACCCAGCCTCCGTGGGGCTGGGGAAAGGGGGACCTGCACCCAGTGGGCTCCCGGTGCTGGGAGCAAGGTCGGGACAGTGCAAGGATGTCCCCAGGGCCCCAGTCCTACCGTGGGCTCCGTTGGTGCGTCGGGGGCCGGGAGCCCCGTTGCGCGGAGATCCCCGCTGCGCGGCATTTCCTTCTGCAGGGTGTGCTGTGCTCACCTGTGCCAGGTGCAGCTCCGCCCCATCTCACTGTGCACCCAGGTCCTGCCAGCCCTCAGGCAGCCGTGGCTGCGTGGTCCCTCCATGCTACTCATCCCCTAGCTGTGAGCTGTGGAGCCAAGGTGCGTGCTGGGGCGGCCAGCTGCAGCTCCAAGCTTCTGTCAGGTCATGGTTTCACGCTGCGCCCCTGGGCTGAGACACGCAGGAGAGCATCCCTGTGCCCTGATAGAATCACAGAATCACAGAAACACCAAGGTTGGAAAAGGCCTCCAAGATCATCCAGTCCAACCATCTGCCCATCACCGATAGCTCTCACTAAACCATGTCCCTCAACACAACATCCAAACGTTTCTTGAACACCTCCAGGGTTGGTGAATCCACCACCTCCCTGGGCAGCCCACTGCAGTGCCAGGAGAGCACCAGGGAACTGCAAACTTCTGACCCAGAGCAGAGGAGAGGTGATGAGCTCCCAGCCTGTGCTGCAGGCATGAGGGCATGAGGAGGAGGGGAGGGTGGTACTAAAGGATGCAGGGATCCTCTGCGCCCTCCAGGCTGGACATTAGCCCAGCATGAGGAAGGAGCTGTGTTGAGAACCTCCTGTTCCAGGTGATGTTTTCTGGTTGCATCCCCCCAAAAAACCCATCGTTGTCCCCCTGCTTTCCCAGCTGGTCTCTGGAAAATCACCCAGAGCAACAAGGAGCAGGGAAACGGGCTCTGCATCAGCAGCTGGAAGAGAGCAGAGGTTAAAGCTGCGCTCTACCCGTGAAGCATTTCTCCTACAGCACCCCATTCCAGCACAGAGCCATCTGCTCTCGGCATCTCTACCTCCAATCCAGGGACACTGGGTCAGACCGCTGCCCTGCTCTGCATACAGCTCCTGTCCATCCCAGTGTTACGTGCATTTTTCACTGGCAGTGCTCTGGCTCTGCCTCACTTTGGCCATGTCCACGATGTGGGGCTGTCTGACCTCTGAACGGAGCAGGTCCTTCAGAGCCTGGAAATACCCCTGGAGCCAGGCCTACCCCCCACCGCCAGGAAGGGAGAAGGGGGGATGACCTCCAATCCAGATTTGGATCTTCTCATCCAAGAGCACCTCTGCGGGATGGGAATTGGACTGGAGCTGCCCAGTGTCCATGAGCTGGCGACCCTGAAGGAACACAGGAAGTCTTTGTGAGTTGACTGCAACTGAATTCATGTGAGTTAAAGGGAACTGAAGAAGACGGAGCCGTTCTCTTGGTGAGGGTGGTTGCCTTCATCCCATGCCATCCACCAGGAGCTGCTGTGGCCCTGGGGCAGTGCGATGTCCTGCAGCTTGCAGGAGAGCAGTCTGCAAAGAGCAGCATCTCCACAGATGGGTCTGGGCCAAGGAATTAAATGTAATTCCACCCAAATGAGGGAAGTGAAGAGGTGTTTTTAGGTTGGGTCATTTTGGTGGCCTTGTTTATTGCACTGCCTTGTGAAAAGTTGCCCTGAGAGACACATTATTAAAAGTGGGACATTAGCACAGTGTGTAAAGATGCACACAACAACCAAGATGTGGAGGACGAGAATTTTCCATCCTATTTTCTCCTCATAGAGCAGATCCCATAAGAAACCACACAAGAGATAAGATGCTCACAACTTCCCCTGTAGCCCAGAGGCATTCAGACCCCAGGTCCAGAGAGGCTCCACATTAGGACATCACAGCACAGGTCAGCTCTGGAGTGGGGTAGGATGCAAATCCCTGCATCTCTCTCTTGGTCCATCATCATTGTCTGCACTGTGCCAGGCTCCCAGGTGCTTTCACACCAGCTCAGAGCAGGAAAGCAAGAGGCAGATGGTTGGAACTGACGATCTTAGTTGTCCTTTTTGACTTTAATGACTGGATGGTTCTATGAGCCATGCACTTCTCGGTAGGTCTGTTGCCTCTGTCCACAGCAGAATCAGATCTGCTGTCTTGTGGCTTCACACTGTGGGACTTGGAGGTGAAACAACCTTGGTTCAGCTTTGGCTCCTGCTCCAGCTCGGTGCCATTCAATCGTGCAGCCGAAGCAGCCTGCTGGAACAACCCCTGCCATACAAACCTACAGCAACAGGAACCCGTCAGCACAGAAGCTCCATTCCAACCACAGCTGCCTCAGGGCTGGGTGGAGGTACAGCGTTGTGCAGCCTCAGGAAGTTTGGTTTTCGTCTTACATTTCCTTCCAAATTTGCCTCTTGGGCGTTGATGGTGGTTGTTCTGATCTTGCCACAGCCGTGCTGGAGGGGAGGAGGCTGCTGTTCCCCTGCAGCAGTTTAACCCATGACGCACAGTCACATCCTCAGAACACCAAACGACTGCTCCACCTGCTATTGTTTTTCAAAACAGAGTGAATAAAACACAAAGCACCTGAGGGCAAAGATCCGTGAGCTCAGCGCAGGCTTCAAATGTACCAAGATGCAGTGGTTTTTTTTCCTTCTGTCTTTTTCCAACCGCATAGAGAAACAAACAACCCCCCATTTCTTTCCATTTCCTGATCAGTTCCAACTATTCCTTCTGTCACCTCGCAGAAACGAGAGCTCGTTGGGTGTCCAGCCTTGGTGCACGGTGCTCCCAAGCTGACCGCATGATGCGCTGCATCTTCAGAGCCAGGCTCGGTGCTGAGGGATCAGCAACTGCCATGTTTGCTGAGCAGCGATGGAACCAACAGCCTCATATGTGCAGAGAGACAGGCAGAAACAAGGGCTGGAGTGCATGTCCCAGGGAGTGGGGGGTCACTGTCCCTGGGGGTGTTCCAGAGCTGTGGGGATGTGGCAGTGAGGGAGATGGCCAGTGGTGGGGTGGGCTGGGGTTGGGCTTTTCCAGCCTTCCTGATTCCACGGCTCTATGAAATGGGGCTAAGTTTGCCTGGTGGATGGTCATTAGGGCCAGCCCTGTTCAACGAACACCTTCATCAACGACCTGGATGCAGGAGTTGAACGCATCCTTAGCAGGTTTGGTAAGGAGGCCGTACTGGGAGGTGCTGTTGACTCTCCAGAGAGACGACAGGCTGTGCAGAGGGATCTGCTTAGAAGGGTTGTTAGTGACAGGACAAGGGGGAATGGATTTAAAGTGAGCCAGGGGAGGTTTGGGTTGGATGTGAGGAGGAAGTTTTGGAGGCAGAGGGTGGTGAGGCAGTGGCACAGGTTGCCCAAGGAGGCTGTGGATGCCCCATCCATCCCTGCAGGCATTCAAGGCCAGGCTGGATGTGGCTCTGGGCAGCCTGGTCTCTTAAGGTCCCTTCCAACAGAACGATTCTATCCTGTTCTAAATAACAGAGTTCCCAGCTGCTGGATGCCACCAGGGATTCACTCAGAGGTCCACAGGCAAGGACAGCACACCTGTGAGGTGACTGCACTCTCACAAAGCAAAACGGAGTATTTCTGGTGCTGTGTTCATCTCAGTTTCCCCTCCCCACGCTACCTGGTGCTGTTCTGACACGTGGGCGCACCTCTTGGTTGGAAGAAGCCCCGTTATCACAGCACCTCGGGTGGCTGCAGCACCCAGCACGTGTTAGCAGAGGAAGTGCTGACGTTTGGGGTTGTGTTATGTGTACAAGCCCCAGCAGTGCTTCTGGTGCTGCTGTCCTCGAGTGCTGCCTGGACCCTGGGGCATTTGGGTGGGGGAGCAGCCAGCCGCTCAGCACTGCCTCTCCCAATGCCTGAAGGGTGGCCACAGCCTCCTGAGACCCCAAAGGGCTTTCTCAGACCCCAAAGGGCTTTCTGCCATGATGCTCTTCCTGTCTGCATCCAAGGGCACAGTGTCCCCACGATTCCCATAGCCCTGTGGGGCTGCCTGTCCCCAGGGGGCTCTCCCTCCTCAAGGTGCCCATCCCAGCCCCTCACAGCAGGAGGTGGGCTGGCTGTCATGACAGCATACAGGCCTCCACGATAGCACATAAGCTGCTGTGTTCCTCAGGGGTTTTGGCATTCTTTGGAAGGGGAGGGAGGGCTGTGGGAGAATCGCGTGGAGAGTCGCATTAAAGACGACGTTTAAATACTATTTAGTGCAATCACCACTGTGTTCTGGTTATGCGTATCGCGAAATGAGGTATTATAGCCCTTCACGGCCGCCGTACGTCGCGCCCTCGCGCGGCCGCGAATCGCCTTGAAGGGGGAGGAGGGCACTGCCGCCATCTTGGAAGCGGGCACGCAGCCCTCTCTGCCTTCGGTGGTCGCCGCTTCTCGGGAGGGCACGAGGGAGATTCGGGGGTAGATCAGGGGTTGAGGCTCCGCTGAGGACGAGAAACAGCTCCGAAGCGGCTTCGGAGGGGAAAGAATGAGTCGGTGTCCGGATCCAAGATGTCGCCCGCGGCCTCAGCGGGTGGGGGCGGAGCGTACGGCGGCGCGGCGGGGTCAGCGCGGTTGGCGGGAGCGGGAATTGGCGCTCGGCAGCCGTTGGGAGCCCGCGCCGCCGTCGCCACCGCCGCCATGCACGTCGTGAAGCGCGGTGAGCGGGAACGTGGGGGCGGGGGGACCGCGGGAAGCCGCTCCGGGCTCCGTCCCGACTTTGGCCACAGAGCCCCGCAGGGCCACACGGCGTCGGTGCTGTGGGGATGGGCTCCTCGGCCTCCTCGCTGAAGGAGGTCGCGGCGAGGTGGGGGTCGAGCTCTGCTCTTGTCAATAGCAGGAGAAACGATGGCCTTCGGTTGTGACAGGGGGTGTTTGGGTTGGATATTAGGTAGAATTCTTCTCTGCGCGGGGTGCCCGTGAGGTGAGGGGGCGTCTGTCCCTGGAGTTGCGATGGCGCCGGGCACTGAGGGACACGGAGTCGCCAAGGTTGGAAAAAACCTCCCAGATCATCCGGTCCAACCAACCAACCTACCGCCAAAATAACCCGCTAAACCACGGCCCTCAGTGCTGCCGAGAGGCGTTTTGTCAGCACTGAGTGTTCCTTGAGCACAAAGCGTGGTGGGATGGCTTGGGGTTGGATGTGGGGATCTGGAGGCATTCAAGGCCAGGCTGGATGTGGCTC